TTTTACATTATATTATTGGTACTTTTACTCATGTATATATCAAAGTATTTCCTCCCCCACTTATCCTCAGCAAGGTCCAAGTAGTACAAGTTTGTTTTAATGGATTCCTTGGCCAAATGGAAGTACCATATCAGGGAGAAGACATATATAGAGTTCCACTAGACAGAGGTCAGGCTTCACTACACTGCAATATACTGCACCTGTTTCCACTGTCGCCATCAAAGTCTGTAATAAAACAGTGAATGTACGTTTAGCTCATATCTATGCACACCTGCATCGGGCCAGACGGGGAGACCACACACATAAATCAGATTAGTAATCTGTCCTTGTCTTCCTTCACAGCAGAGGCGCCCATTAATACTTCATTTCATCTCTGCAGTGGCGAGCCTTTCTGCAACAACCAAAGGTGACAGCCACAAAGTTGCTGGATGGGATGAGAAGCTAAAGGAGCTAGCTTTTAGGATTCCGGCTCGCACTTTAAATGACAGTCATGGGAAAGCAAACAAAGCTGTGCAGTCAAACTAAAGAACTGGGGAAGATTGATCCACACGCAGGCTCAAACACAAGGAACGGACCCCCACACAGTAACATGCTTTATTAGGGAACAGCAGGCAAAATATTACATAGTGCTCTAACGTCTACTGTGTATGTTTTGTGTTAATAGCATCTTTATCAATTTTACACTGGCTTCCTCTGTTTGGGTGATGCACATGAAATGTCATGCACACACTTTCAATTAAATAGATTGACTGTCTGGTTCACAGTTAATGCTTAAAATCCATTAATTATTTAAATACCCTCTTAAGTCATGAGGTGGAGGGGTACATAACATGTGGAAGACAGGTTAATGATGGGTGTTTAAGTCATCAGACATCTTAGACTGGGTGTATGTAGGCTTGATGATAAAAGCTTACACAGGATTAATGGCTTTGATGTTTTTATTTAGAGTGTAACTAACCTGGTAACAGACATAATCATCAATATGTGTCATAACAGGTAAGATAACTTGATACTAAAAGGGAACTGGACATGTTCCTACCTTGGCCCGACTGACTAATGACTGACTCAATAATGATTTGAAGCAACGTGGGACAAATGGATGGAAAATGATTCTTCATAGCCTTCATTAATGCAGGAAGTTTTGTTAAGTGTGCTTCCTGTTTATCAGCACTGCTTCACCTTATGCCCATACTATTACCTACAATACATTCACAGTGGGAACCTCACAGAGCAACCGGAGTCTTCTGCTCTCTACTTGAGCAATTAGATATTGATTTCCTTGCTCGAGGACCTTGGTGATACAGTTGTTGACAGACAGAAGACGGTTACACCTTCACAGATGTTCCACCCACCCAGTCCACGGAGAACCGGATCAAAAAACACCTGCCTGAATGAGAGTGGTGGAAAAAGGCATCTGATGCAAAGCACACATCTTTCATCGCTTTGATTTCAAATGTCCGGCAGCTGCTCAAATTACTTAAGCATGTTTCCATGGAGACCACTGGAGTGTGGATTTACTGTATATTTACCAGACAAGGTATAAATGTTTGGATAAATAATTGATGTGTAAGAAAGGGCACAGTTTGAAACCACATTTGGATTACTTGAATCAGAATTGCACTAAATATATCACGCATTAAAACAACCCATAGCGGTGAGGATATGTTTAAGTGTGTGTGCCCACGGGAGTGATGTGGGCATGATGGAAAGGAGGAGAGAGAGAGAGAGAGAGAGAGAGAGAGAAATTCATATATAGTAAAGCAGGGAAAGAGAGATTGCCTGCTGCTTCCACAAACAATACAGCTACACAGGATGAAACCGATTCGTTTATGAATATTTACCTTATTATTATTTGCACATACTGGAGCAAATGTAGCATGACAGAAATACTATATAGTTTGATAGATCAATTTAAAAAGGATGCTCTGGATTCAGTGTGTTTACATAAAATACCCTTTGCAACCAAGTTTATTTCTAAATCCAATTTCAAACTAAACTTAAATCACTGCGTTGTTCTATGGCTTTGTTTGGTACCTCCAGGATATATTAGAGACAAACCAAACTAAAGCATACAAATTTGTACAAAGTGCTTCAGTTGTTTGCACATCATTATTTCACATACAGTAATTAATTTTCTGCTGCTTCGTTTGCCGCAGCTACAGCCCAAGAAATCAAAAGTGTGAGGCTTCATCTGTCTGTTTTAAAACACAAAAAGAAAAACTGTTACAAGGAAAGCTGTTAAATTTCCAGTTGGCACTTCTACCCCAGTCTGGCACCGTGGTGATGCAATTATACAACACATGAATACTGTTTTGCTGAAGTATTTTGACATTCTGCAGAAAGTGGTGTGCAGTTATATCTGAATTGCTGAGGCACGAGAACAAGGCATTATAATAATAATTCTCTTAGCTTAGAGCATGCAATAACTGTCAACATTGTGGTTTGACAAAAGTTACAAATACAGTGGTGATATAACATGTTCCACAAAATAGAAATATAACTTTAGAAGAGGATTGCAGAGAGGAATTCATTATTATATTATTGTTC